TGGGACGCGAGGTTTGGACCACAGACTTCTAGACATATGAATGAATAACCAGTGATGCGGTGGGAGAGGTTGTTGTGGCACTTTCAGTGAAAACTAAGTTGTTGTGTTCTCTAGCTTCCATCTATGTTGTGCAAAGTGCAATCTAGTAGTGAAAATTTCCCTTTGTGAAGATAAAGATGTAACGACTTTGGAAAGCAGAAATGATTTTATGTTAAAATAACCATATCCTTAATTTCAAGTCTGATTTTTCCTTCGACTTGTTTGCTTGCCCATCTAGAATATCTTGAATATGTCTATGAGTAAAAAAAAGAGAGTATAAGCCCATATGCCCATTTCAACTTTTAAGGAAGAAAGAAAGAAGTTTCAGATTTTCCAGAGTATTTGCAATTCATCATGAAGCTCTTCATCCTCTTTTGAACCTGTTCAGCTTCCCCCACACTTCTCATACACCTTTTTCATAACAGGGTTACATACGGCTTCCAACTGTTAGAAATTTTGCAGTTTGTGTGGGTTGCCATTAATTGGAGATTTTGGTTTAATCAAAATTGGTTCAAAATATAAAACAGAGTGTGTAAGGCCCAAAATCGTGATCAGTCTGTTGTGAAAGGCCCAAGAGGGGACCTAGCCATTTACAATTTTACACAACAAGAGCAATGTCATCCAACCATATCCATAGCTTCCTTCTATGTGCTCTCAATCTTTCTCCTTGTTTTTTGGATTGATTTTGTCTCCCAACTTGTTGCCATTGATTGTATTCTTCATATTGTAGATGTATGTCTCAAGCTTATTCTTTGCATCCGCCTTCTTCCTTATTATTTTGTCCTCCTCCACAACTCCTCTGCCTTCTTCACCATCCTATCAATCTCTTCCTGGATAAGCCCCCCCTTCTCACTGGTTATGGTGGTGGATTGTGATTTTTTTGCTGCCTTGTCTTCTGCTGTCACATAGAGAATGCCATTGGCATCTCAAATGTCAACTCTATATGTGGCACTTCCCTGCAAAGAACATTGGTTGAATATCAGTCAACATCTTACAGGCCCTGAAACCTTAAACGAATTCAAAAGTTCAGTCCTTTAAAAAGACCAGTTGTGCATGAAACTTCCTAGTGTCTTATGTTTAAACCTAGGATCAAGAGGGATATGTTTGGATCCAAATTTACGTGGGAGCCGGAGAAATACCTATTAAATCAATCCTTCCAAGCTCACATCAATCCTTTGTTAAGCTTCTTTCACCATCGAAGACTTGAAAGAGAGTTGACTTGACGGTTGACGCCAAAGGCGCCATATACTTCTTTTAAGATGACAATTGTGGAGGAAAGGAAAGATAGTTGGGTCTGTTTGGTGCAGTTGGTTGAAGTTTTTGTTTTTTTTTTATTATTTATAAATGATAAATTTAAATTTTTATTAAAAAAAATTTAAAAATTATTTTAAAAAAAAAG